GGCTCTTTTGGGTCAATTTTTTCGGGTAAGGCATCGGATTCGGGAACTTCGGACTGAGGCTGTCCCTTGGGGACTTGGCTGGCGAGGTCCTTGTCTTCTTCACTGTGATCGAACATTTCTGTATCATCGGAATCAGTGAGGACTTCTGTACCATCTCCAAGAAGAATGATCCGTCCACGTGGGTTCCCACCGAAAGACTTAAGCTTCTGGTCCATATCAACATCATATCCACTGTCACTATCATCAAAGTTATGATGAACACCAGGTCCACGGAATTCAGCTATTAAATTTGTTAGGAAATATTCTAGTCTTGGGACTCAGCGGAGTACTTGCCATACTCCGGAGGGGCACATGGACCATCTCCATTTGCAACACGCTTTGCGATTTCATCGTACCACTCTTCCTTGGTCTTGCCGTTCAAGAGACCAATGACAATCATAGTCATGTTATCACAACCAACACCACCAGTTTCCGAATTGGATGCTAAACAGTTATCCATCATATTCTCGCAGATTTTAGATAAATCTTGCTTGGCAACAATGCCTCGTCGAACGAATTCGATAACAGCTTGGGATGATTGGCAATCCCAGATACCTGCAGATCGTGTTAGCCTTGTTGTTCTCGATGACTCGTCGTAAGCTACTGACCATCACAAGCGACCACTAAAAACTCGTCATCGTCTGTAATATCGTGTACAGTAACATCGGGGAATGCAGTGACGATTTGCTGCTCAGGCGAAAGCTCTGCGCTCTTTTTGAACTCGAAATCGCCAATGGCTCTTGATAATGCAAGGTTACCATTGACACGACCGAAATCGACGAAGCCTCCAGCCGCATTAATTCTGGCTTTTTCGCCTGCACAGTTATAGATTAGTATTTTGTGCAGTCCATCGCTAATATAATGAGAAGCTACCTTCGTTTTGCGGCTTGTGGTCGAATGACAGAGGCTTGGCACGACCCTTGACTCCCAAAACACTTCTGGAGTCTCCAGCATTTCCCTTATGAACAGTAAGCATATTTCGGCGTCTGTTGCCTCGTATAACATACCACATAGATCTTCTTGTGCGAAATTATGCCAACTGATGCGGTACAGCCAGAAACTTCCTCCTCGTATCTTGGATCTATAACTCATATTAGTCTCGCTGTTTGGTAGAAGGAGGATTTTGCTCTAACCCATCAAGATTGCTCTGTCTGTTGCAAGGAAGCCATCCTTCAAGGCTTGTTCAATATCACCCTTTTGGAATGCTTCTTGTTTCGCGATGATCTGGTGTATATTTTCTCCTGCAAAAAGGGCTACCCGATCCCCTCCATGTCCATCGTAAACACCGAAGAATGAAAGTCTGCTATCGATTGGAGCTGGCTTCAATTCCTGTCCCTTTGTATGTTGTAAATCGAGGATAGTCGCGTGCGCGTCCTCCATGCTGATTCTCCATCCCTGCATGGAGGAGACACCATAAAGTAATCTCTCATCGCCTCCAGTAGCTGAGTGCTATCAGAGAAAGCCATGTTAGTAACCATCGGCAGTGGTGGCAGATAGATCTTGGTTGCGGGAATGCAGCTGAAGACCGAGTCTTTGCGGGATATTTTTGTAGAGAGATTGTGCTCATTTAACAAATTACATAGAGTCTCTATACTACTGCGCGGCGCAGAAGTATTTCAACACCAGCAGGCAATACCAGGTATGCGATACCTTGGCATGAAAGACCAGCGCCGACAATGACACAGTAAACAGATAAGGCGAAAAAAGATAAAACAAACGTACCTTCTCCACGACGGGCTCCGAAAGAGTCTGACCCATCTTGAAGATAGATCTAAAACCTCTCTACAAAAATCCAACACGCAATTCAGATCTTTCTCTCAACAATATTTCGAGATCTTCGAGTGGTGTTCCTTGACAGAGATTGCAAAGAGGTATGGGTGGGATGCGGGGTCGTGATTTTCTTGGTAGGAAAGGTGGAAGAGATTATAGATAGAATAAATACCTTGGTATTATCTATAAGAAAGACAATTATCGGGATTGAAAATCTAATTTAATGGGAATGTCAAGATTTGGAAGAATTGTCTTTGTTCTTCTTTGCAGATCGCGTGCAGTTTTCTGGAGGAGGGAAGGAGAGAGGTGATGTTACTAAAAATGACGCTTTTCTTTGCCTTTTCTTGCCTTTTCTTGCCTTGCCTTGCCTCGCCTTTCTTTGCCTTTGGCTTGCTGTATGTATTAACGAATACCCTGCGCAGAAGAGCAAAGGACGCTAAGAGAGGTTCGCTTATTTATCTATAAAGAGTAATAAACTGTGATAGAGTGGGGGGGGGGAAACAGGAAGGATCGATTCTTTTGATAGGGTTGAGTCAGAAGAGAAGGGAAGGGAAGGGAAGGGATACTCCGTATATCGTAGTAACTGAGGTGACGGAATGTGAGTGAATGTGAGTGAATGTGAGCTTGTTTTTGGGGGGTGAATGGCTTGGTAAGAAGACCTCGGTGTAGGTAGGTAGGTAGGTGCATGCAAGTATGTGGGTAGATAGCTAGCCAATAGGTTATTTTCCTAAAAAGGGATGTAATTAACTTATAGTAACTATCTGGTATATCTAGAATCTATCTAGGTACATGGCTCAAAGACTCGTAGGATATATCCATCTTAACATCGTGAACAGCTACCATATACTCACTCGGTTACACACCAGACACCACATAATAAAATCCCAAATCTTCGAGCGCAGCGAGCTATGGGGGTTTGGGGGCTTGGCCCCATCAATTGATTCGTTGTAAGCAGTAAGTAGTAACGAATGTGTTTGGTAAGGTTTCAATGACAGTAACGGTGAGAATACTCCGACCAGTGGCAATTTAACTCATGATAGACGAGTGAGTGTCTTCAAGAGCTCAAAGAGCGAGACCCTCGAAAGCTTGAACATCATGAGTACCCCTATGGCTCTTATGTCAAATTATATCACATTTTTGCATTTCTCATCTAGATGACGGCTATACCAACGTCCTTAGCCATGAGAACGAATGAATACCAACATTTTTGTCATATGTATTCTCCCAGTTGATATCTATCAAAAGGTCACACCATGATACCTTTGATAAGCTCTGAACTTACCCACCTACCTGATAGCAATATTTGTAATTGGAGTTCCCAGCCTAGGTATTTTCTTCTACTTCGTACATTTAATTAGTTCGTGTTGCGTTTGAGAGCAGTCTGGGCCCGTTCACCGGGTGGACCCTTTGGATGTTTAGCTTTCGGAGGAACTGAATAGACTGCGCCGCGCTCAGATATACCTAGTAATTACTCTGTACATTCTGAATAACTCAATCGCTATCATCAGTTCCTTTCCTCTACCTAAGGTACATACATAGGTACTTATTAGCTGGACAGTGCAAACATCCATCGTCATTCTGCTCGGGCAGACTACAATTGTTAGTCTTTTGTTTTGATTTCTCAATAAACAAATATATTGACAAAGTGGTATTACTCGATTGATACAAGTATATTCCGACAACAATTTGTTCGTTGGATTTTGGTGGGGGGTGGTGTCATCTGTCATAGCAATCACTGTACCCAAATTTTTCCCTGAAAAGCAACAAAGCTGGGGAATCTTCGCTGAGCTTCCGGTATATGCATAACAATCGTTTGACAAGTCATCTTCATCCGTTACCACCCGCGCTGCGTGAGATTGTATCATCAGTCATATTCTACCCGGTTCCAGGGAGGTTTTCATGCTGTCAATGATGTTGCATCAAGTGGTCCTATGGATCCTCGTCAACTCAAGGCGGATTATGATGTGGAACTCTATGGTGTTTTCTCGAAGCAACCGAATGACTACATCGTGATACCTCCCGGTACGATCATAGGAGATCTATCTTTGGGAAAGGGGATAAGTGACCCCAAAGTATAAGGGAATCCCTAGCTCTGAAACATGTCTACTTGGTGGTCCAAAGTTAGTCTTGCCTGTCAAGAGGATGTTTCGACGTCTAGCAAGTCTATCCTGTGAGAACATCAAGGAATGTGTCGATTCTCTTATTCCATTCAGAGAAATCTGGCAGATACAGGAAGATATATCAAAATTGTCTGCCACGTGGAACCATCAAGTTGGCTTCAAGAGACAAAGAATACAGCTTTGGAGATGTCAAGATATGCCGCCAACACATGATTTGGCAGACAAGGAAGACATTACAATACATTTGTTACCGCGATTCACCAACAACTGAGCCGGTGTATATTTGTTAAGATGGAGAATCATGCCCTAAAAGGTTTCTATTTACTCAAGCGAGTTATCTCATCAAGCAATTGCCTCTTGTATAGCTGTGAGATATGCCGGTTTGAATTGCGCAGGCAGGTTGTAATTATAGGTTAATGGGATGGGATCAGTCAGTCTTTTCTTATGGAAAGATGTGACTAAGAGTTAACAGCACAAATATGGAGCAACTATTCCATCTTCATCTAGCACTTTCAGACATGTTCTTTATTACACATACTACTTCATCGAATTGCCAACCTTCTGATTCTCTTTCGTCATCCTTCCCTTTTTTGCTATCTCTTTCTCGTCTATCAATTTTGTCGGCTTCTAGTGTTTTCATTTCCAATTTCTTTCCAAATCCAGAATTCGGCGGAACACCCACTTGGATGCGTCGAACTCTTCATTCAAGCAAAATATCAGTTTAACAACATCTTTTGGAACAATTTGGGATTCGAGAAGCTATCTTGTCTCAATTCTACTGGCATATTCGGCTTCGAGACGATCAAGGCACATTTTCGAATCGCCTGTCAAAGCCCGATATTTACATGTATATATAGCATCTCATCTTCATAGTTTGTAGTCTTCACTAAACTCGCCATCTCTGTCTTCCGTCACTATTTACTACGCACTTGTAACGACTGCAAATTAAATCACACACCATTCACTCTTACCAACTGATCCGGCTCTCCTTCTCTGATCCTCTCCAACCATCATCCCCCATTCTCCCAATAATTACATAGTGAGTCTTCCAATTGTCTACTTTTGACAAAGATGGTTGCTTTTCAAAATGTCTTGGCCTTTATCGGAGGCGCAACAATCCCACTTTCTGCAATGATTTATCGCCAACTCAATCCTCCACATACAGCTTACCAAGATTGTCTCGAACATCTCATGGAGTTGGATCAGCGAGCGAAGGAAACATGGCAACGTTCTGAGATTCCAGATGGGACCTGGATAAAATCGAAAACTCGTCTTACGCATACCGCTTTGTGCAATATGCATCACGGACTCGAAAGTATGCCCTGGAAAGTTGAAAGTCACAACTAGTATAATATGATGGATTCGGAAGCGAACGTTATCGTGCGAAATCATTATGCTGAGTATGATGCCACTTCTAATCACATCACTTGAATTAGTTGACTTGATCTGTACTGACAAAGTTAAGGAATCCGCAAGAAAAACATGGATCGTCGAAATGAGACAACTCACGCGGTATCAGTGCCAACCGGTTTGTCAATTGGTTGTAAAACAGGTCGTCTTCAAATACGCTGTATGATCCCCTATAGCCGGGAAATTCACAAGTTTGAGGATGTGCTATCGTCTTATACTTGAAATTGTGAGGCCTAGAAATTCTTGGAGCAAGTCACGATGGAGCGATAATTAGATTGGATCATTTCATAAATAGTCGTTGATGATTGGAGAAATCATTTTGATGATAGATTCTGGCTTGCAACGGGATTCAATGTGTATTTCTTGCGTTACAGACAGTAAAAACCCCATTCCCTACATTACATTCGTCTCTCGCTTGCTCCATTATCTTCCATGTCTATTCTCATTATCAATGTTCTTGTGCGTGCAGTATACATGTAGAATTGAATAGTTCTAGTCAGTTTCCTAACATAGAAATCACCATTCCCTTTCCGCAAAACGCAAATTGCAAAAGTTTGAAAGTTTGAAAGTTTAGAAGTTTAGAAGTTTATAAATTCACTCTTCCACTCCAGCAATTTCGTTCTATCCCCTATGATCCCAACATCTCTCAATATAAGAGATAACAACGCTTAGCAAACATCAAATACCAACTAGTGCTCCGAAAACCCTAGCCTCCTATCGAGTTTCCTACTGTGATACATATAATCAAACGTCCATCCCGAATATTCCTCTCTCATCTCATCTCCTCTATCCAAAATAATCCTCCCACCCATCTCAATCCTCCAAGCTTCAGAAGAGTATTAGCAAGATAATAGACATAGCTATGAAATCAGTCACTAAATGTCTCAGATCCGATTCGGAAACTTTCTAGAGTGTTTTTGATATGTCGGGTTGAGGTTCGAAGGGGGGGAGGGGTTTGAGATGTGTATATATATGGTTCGTTTGTTCAGTTTTGGTTGTGAGTTTTTGATTAGTTTATGGTTCTGGGTTGTAGATTGTAGATTGCATATTGTTACTATATTTTCAAGCTCATCGTCTTGAAATATTGAATATCAAGATCAAACATCATACCCGCCCAACCCAAGCACCACAAATCCAATACTCACCACACGAAACCCCCACACGCAGAGTAGAACAAACAGATCTCCACACCTACACCATTTCCTCATCCTCTCACCCACCTGGCCATCCAACTCCAACTCCCGCCCCGAAACGAGGAATGTCCCTATCCGCCTTTATTCTGTCCCTCATCATCTTCAAGATCATACATCATATCCGCCCATATTGTTTTTTCGTTCAAACGCCTTTGGACGAAATCGTTTATTATTCTATGGGGGGGACGCTTGCGGGTTTGTTTTTGATTTGGGTTGATTTTGGATTTGATGGTTTGGAGGCTGTGTTGAAGATTTTGCTTTGTGTTGAGAGGAAAGATGGGGAGTAGAGATAGTTGGGCTGAGGATGGGATGAAAGAAGGAAGGGGGGGGGATGAGAGATAAATGGAATGGTAAGGATGATAGAGAGGGGACTTGTATTGACTGGGAATTACTGGTCAATGGGTGGGAATTGAGAATTTAGAACTGATGCTTAAATGATCAATTATCAGTTCTTGAGGAATTTGTATCAAGGAGTTATTAGATTGGTAGTCTCTGTGTACTTTGATGAATAAATTCACCTGAGGTTGAGGAATTACATTCTAAGAAACTCGTCACGGAGATTTTACTTTTCCCTTTTTTCCCTTTTTTTGCTTTCTTTCTTTTTGATCATCTGTTCCTGTTCTTTCACTACCATTCTCATCGCTATCTCTGTATTTTTTATTACAATCTCTCAGATTAGGATTAAACTATGCTATGGTTCCAGATTTCAGGTACAGCTTCAAGCTGTACATCTCTTTTCATCAATAACTAGCCCGCTACTTCAACTCGAGAAAGGATTTCCAGGGCAAGGTATGGAATCCGGAGAGAGATATGAGTGAACCATCATGAATACTCTTTGTACAATTGCCACATCTGCGCGGACTCGAATCATTAGTATGCTGGCTTTGTTTTAAGTGTTAGTTGTATCTCTATCTTCGAGTTTTTATGTTCAATCTCTGGCTCGTCAAGAGAAACTGGCTCCTTGCTGATTGCTAAGTGACTCTCGATATTGGATGCTCATCAATCCTCAAGTACATTATGTATCTTCTGGAGAATATTCAACAGCGTAGAAGTCTCAGTATGGTAGCAAGAATCCAATGAGCTGCTATGGAATGGGAGGATATCGTAGGTCCGGAAAAAGATGTTCAGAGGAACATTACATGAACGATTGAACCCCCAATCTTTCTTTTAATTAGATTTTACATTTCCTATTCATTTGTTACTCGGCTACCTACGGTAATCACAAATTATATATTTAGAGAGTGTTTTACCCGAACCAGGTAAAACTCTCAAGTACTTGAGTCAAGTTTTTCAAGCGTATTGTAATGTGGTTCTGCACACTTTTCGTTATCCCTGCACTAGAGAAGGAACCCGGAGAGATAGAGCAGTGTTTTATCAGTCAAGAGGAAAGTTTCTGGTATGGAGAGTGGTAAGAAGAGAGTAAGGGTTTGAACATGAACATGAGAGGTGACAAGGTAGAGCACTTGGTGACATTAAAGGTCCATAAAGGGATTTGCTCGTTGATTAGGGAGGGGGGGTCAACTCTTGAAACCCTTATTCGTGATGAATAATCATCCATAAAGGTAGAGATAGGTGTGAAGGCTCAAAAACACGAGTTGATACAGAGCCGTGACATGGAACGAAAAGTAAAGAAAAGACTAATAAATGAATCATAAAAGATAAATAAATCGTGTCACAGATGCTTACTCCCAAGATCTTATATATACAGCTAATTGAAAAATAAATGATCGTATATACTCCCTATTACAACAAAAGTGGATACATACATTCGTTCTAGAAGCTCAAGCGGAGTGATCATAAACGTAGCGCTTATTTTGACCCTCCCTTCTCCCAACACCAGCATAGGAACTTAAACCTGAGAATACCCCTACTTCCTCCACAAGGCTCAAGAGTGGAGAAATATAAATCCCCAAAAACGGACAATACCCTAACACCCAAGTTTTAGAGTTAAACCCAACATTCATCTTATCGTACCCCAGATGTGTTTCACCAATGTCAAAGATGTTGGATGGGATTTTGAGAAGTGATGGGTTGGATGAAGGATTATTACGCAAAACCAAGAGAGTTTCCCGCTGGATATTATTTGGGCTAATTATGCTGTGGTCAGAGTGTGATGTATAGAAGTTGTATACGCCACAGCACGATTAATGAAAGACTAAGTTTCTAAGGGTGGGAATTGTAGTTTGAGGAATACACTCGGGTTCGTGGAGGATATGTGCTGTAATTAGTTACTGAACTTCGAATGCAGAAAGATATCGCATCATGTTGCTATAGCTTGTGAAAATTTACCGCTGTCAGATATGTAGCATCACGAAATAGTAAAGAGTATCTAGCGTTCACCAGATCTAGTCGGAACTAGTTTTGCATCTACATCACGCATCACATCTTGTTTCCCTCCTCCTATTGACATGCTACCACACCCAAAGAATTACATACATCTGTGAACTTTGCAAGCTTTATTACTGGCGTGGATTTCTAGTCTTGAAAATCGATATTGAATGTAAGATTACATAAACTTTCAACACAATTAAAGGAGCTATTCACGATAGCCGAAGAACATTAACCTCCCTCACATCTACATCCCCACAAACCTGAAATTGACTCAATTCTTCCAAAGGATCTCCCGATTTCAATAATTCTTCTATCCCTACCCACCCACTCTTTCTCATAACAAATTACACTATGCATCCCAAACATCCAAACATCATATAAAATTAGCCGCCATACATCTGTATCCACTACCAAGCCAAGGAAATCTCTCCACATCCATCCATCATCCATCTACCCATCCTAACCCACCCCATCAGCCCCGTATATCGCATATAATTAAAAATTGACCTTATTCCCAACCCTACACCTCTGTTCCTAATTTCCCGTCTCACTAACCTGTCTATTGTCATCATCATCATCATCATCATCATCATCGTCAAAGAATAATCTCCAAGCGCCCGCGCGCCGACCGAACAAATCTCATTCCCAGATCCTGGCGGTAATCCGGAGACTCGGACTCAGCGCTTGCGATAGCTCGCCAGTTGGGTTGGGTCGCTGGGAATATCCCTTTAATTCCTAGCATGTTTCAATGGGCGGAGTGATAGTTATGCTATAGCGGGTGCGAGTACACCTTATTGCTGAATGGGAATCTCGGTGTCATCTAGATGTTCCCTGCGAGTTGATTGCAATTGAGATTTCGACGCTAAATTTATAGGTGCGGGCTAGCAAGTGATTTCCATAGGGTTGGTTCGATGGAATTGATGGATATTCTATGGATTTTCTGGAGGAGATGTTGGTTGAGGATTATAATATTATTTCTCGACCATTGATACCTATCCACAGTAACCCCATAAGAAGTATTATCAAGGTTTAAAACTTCATTGCTCATTAGCCACCTTTACGATTTCAATGGTTGAAACGGCTTCATGGGTCACGTTGTAATCCTACAAGATCAAATGAACAATCTCATCACGAGGACGAGGGAATCGACCGCCTATACGTGAAAGCCCAGAACGGCGTACACGATAAGCAATGCGAAGTTACGGCTCGTGAATTGTGTAGAGCCGTGCTCATGCTCAGTCATGCGTTCAGATAGAGGAAAGATGATTCTACGTACAATGGAGAAGAGAGTTTTACGAATTCCCGATCCTGTTGCCGCGGGTCTGGCTTGGCTTTGAGGATTGTGTTGTTGAGGAGAATGGTATCGTGTAGATGGATGTTGATGTGATGATTGAAAGGTTTGAGATGAGATGGAAATGTATAAAGTACTGAGATGAAGCTGTCGGAATTACTTTCTACATCATCAACATCATCAACAATAACAACATTCAATCCAATCTACAACAACTTCCAATATCTTCACCACCACACAACAATCGCCCACCAGCAAATCATCAAAATGCAATTCTCCACCATTACCTTCCCCCTCCTCGCCCTCTTCCTCACTAACACCCTCGCCATGCCCTCCAGCCCTAACCCAAACACTAACCCCCTCGAAACTCGCTCAAACGATTGCGCCACCTCCTGCTCTTGCGGCACCGTCGTTCCCGCCCCTAAAGGATTCAATGTAGTCGGGAAAACCAAATGTCGCTGCTACGGACAAGTCGGAGATTGCGACTTGCTTTTGGGTGAAACTGTTGATTATAAGCAATTGGTAAGCTTTTTTGTTTTCTACTTTCGTGATGTGGCTAATTTGATCTGTGATTTAGCTTATTTGCGGTCAAGATGGTTCAGGATGTGTTTGGGTTTAAGAATTTGATGGGGATAGTCTCTCTTTTCTGTCTTGGTTTGGATTTTAGGCGTGGGAATCTCGATTCTAGAGTTTGAGTGAGGTAGAGAATGGTTTGAATGTTGTCCTTACACTTCTTCTCTTCTCTTCTCGCAATTACAACGACAACAACGACAATCCGAATCCTCCATCTCTCACCTACAAGAAAGAGAGTACGAAATGCGAATCGAGAGACTGATCAAAGAGTTGGTGATCGGAGGACGTTGTATGATTGATTTCCTTTTTTTATGTGTCATTGTTTTCATTTGTATGTTTGGGATATGATGGAATAGAGTTAGAAGTTAGAACTTTTCTTATGTACTGGATACATAGAAATTGCTTGCAGTTTAGATAGAATATAAGATTGCCTGGGCCTGGGTATTACTTACAACTTTCTGCTTGGACGTTTTGAATTCTTTGTGAAAGTGATTTTTGATCTTATGTTTTGATTGTGGTGGCAAGCTCTTTCTTTCCTTTCCATCCAGATTCAGTGATCTGTCTTCCATTTTCTCTCCAACACCTCTCCTCTGTACCCCCTTCATATTCTTGATTCCTCGCTACACCAATCTTCCATAGTCATTGGAATAGTATATAATAACATGAATTATAAGTATGTCACTTCAGTGAAATACACATTTTATGTCATACGTTTTAATAATTATTACTAGATTCTACATCACTAGACCTATTCATTTGAATTGAATATTGAATATCATAGAAAAATATCAAAACACTGGGATTCAATCTATTCCTTCCCAAAGAGGTAATATCAAAGCTATTTTCATTGGAACATATAGAAATATATTGAATACCTTTAGATTTGAAAGTAATATGATTGAAACCTTTAAAGATTTATCTAATTCCAGTATTTCTATAGATTGTTAGTGTTATACGTATTTGTATATATTGATGTAACATAGAAGACTTCAATGAAAACTACTATATTAATAATTGACACTGCTATAAACAATAAGAGAAAGTGGTAATAGTAGCACCCCTAATGAATCCTATCTCGTTCTGTGACAACATTCCCCTTCATCACCCTCCTCTCCCTAACCTCCTCAACCTCTTGTCTTCAATTCTTTTCTCCCCCTGCCCATTCATTTACTCCCCTCCCCCCAGTTTCTTCCCTCCCTCCCCATTGTTTCCTCCTCTCCTCCTCTCCTCGGCCCGTAGAACCTCCCCTCTCTCCTCCAATCCATTCATCTACCTTTCACATTCCACATTCCACATTTAACTTCCCAGCTCAAATCAAATCAACCCAGCTCAACCGAACCCAACTCCAAAACAACAAAAGCCCCTAGATCCCAGTCCATAAATCTCCTCCAAAAACTTCCAAACTCATCAATCACACGTGCCGGTATACCTCCCTCGAGGAATTACTCATTCACCCCCCAAGCGATTCTTTCCCGGAAAGATAAACAAGATATCCACACCCATTCCACAACCATAAGCATAGGTATGACTATATATGTAATTATCGCTAAGGGGAAAGGGAAAGGAAAAAGGAAAGGGAAAGGGAAAGGGAAAGGAGAGTAGAAATCTAATACAATCATATCTCCCTCGTAAACTCTCTACCTCTCTCAATTTTTTTTTCAATCAACCAACACCAAAACCAAACACAATACATCGAAATCCAAAACCCCAGCATCGAAAATCACAATCACAATCACAACATGATTTAAGTTACCCAAAATATAATACCTCAAATATTCTACAATATATCCATCCACCCGTCCGCTTCGACTTTCGAGATTCGAATCTCGAATAGCCAGAAAACTATATAATCTTACCTCGTATTTCGTGTCGAGTATTTCGTATCGAGTAGTTAACTTATATCAAGGAGATAAATCTCAACTTAGCTTCTCAAACAGGGAAAATATGAGTGGTTGAAAACGTGGAAAGAGAAAGGGGGCAAGTTGGAAAAAACAAGACGAACAGGAAGATCCGTCGCATCAGACGGTATATTATCATGACTAAAAACCTGAGAATCAAAAGACTATCTTTGTATTCGCATTTGAATTCATGATAATATCTATCCTTCCTATCCTTCCTATCCTTCCTATCCTTCCTATCCTTCCTATCCTTCCTATCCTTCCTATCCTTCCTATCCTTCCTATCCTTCCTATCCTTCCTATCCTTCCTATCCTTCCTATCCTTCCTATCCTTCCTATCCTTCCTATCCTTCCTATCCTTCCTATCCTTCCTATCCTTCTACCATCCTCCTACCATCCTCTTACATACTCATCACTCGCCCTCCGGATCCTATTCCCGTCCCTTCGATCTCTCCCCTCGATGAAAACCGGATAGGTAAATACTAAACAATCACTCATATACCCATCCACCCATCTACCCATCATCCCATCATCATCACCTTCACAACTATCATCTCTCCCCATCCCTCTCCATTCTTCCCAATCCCCCCTCCTCTCGATAATACAAGAGTTGAGGCCCCGGCTTATCGCACACTAAGCGAAAACACACCAAAACCTCTCATTTCTTTCACTTTTGAACTATATATTGATTTAATCAATTTTTAAATCAAACTTGTTAGAGCTACACGTAGAATAAAAAATGATGAGAATATTTCAAAAAAAAAAAAAAGAATAAAATATTTTTGCTATTTTTTTTCCAAAAAGTTGTAAATTTCTAAAATTAAATTTTTTAAAAAATCTCAAAAAGAGATTTTTAACATAGGAAAAGTAATATATGTTATAAATTTATAAATAATTAAATTTTGATAATCTATAAATTTATCAAAAAAGAAAATTTAAAAAAATCAGTCGTTTCTAAGATTCTTATTATACTTATTTCTAAATTGTCTAATTTTTAAATCAATTTTTTCAATTTATTAAGAAATTATAAAAATAATTCTTTTTTATATAATGATATCTGAATGTTATAATTAACATTTCTTTTTTAAAACTAACAATTTTGATATTTTTTACTTAAATACTTTTTAAAAAAAATGACACTTTTCTCCTAAATTTCGATTTCTTAATAAATTTATTCTAATCTTAATAAAGGAAATATTATTCTGATTTCAAAATAGAAGAATAATAGTCTAATCTTAAAATAGAAAAGAATCATATTCTAATATAAAAATGAAAATATAGTTTTATCTTATAATTCTATATCTTATGATATACTATTATTCAATTAAAAATTGATGTTTAAAATATAATTTGAAATATAATTTAATAAAATATTTTAATTTCATTAATTTATTTAATAAAGAAATGTTTCTTTTTAAAATTAAACTGATTTAAAAATAAATCTAGAATATTATAATTTTTAATTTCAGAAGTAAAATAATGAAAAAGAACTTAGAATAAAAATATCATTTTTGAAAATGTATTTAGAACAAAATATCATTCTTTTAAAAATACATTTAAAATAAAAATATCAAAAGAACTAATTAAAAAAAGAAGTATTAATTTTAACATTTTAAATATCAACACATAAAAAAGTGCTATTTCTATTATCTACCGATTTTATATAGGAAAACAATCTTTTTGTAGGGATTTTGTTACAAAAAAGAGTAACATGTAATAAGCCAAGGCCTTAACTCTTATATGCACTATACACATAATCAAGAACATCCCCCATCCCCCCTCCTCTCAATAACATACATGTACACAACCGAGAACATCCCCATCTCATCCCATCCTGGAGGAAATAGGAAATAAACCACATTCAAACTTCAAACTTTAAGCTTCACTACCTTACCACCAATCTAACCACAACCGCACAATCTAAAAAGAAAATTCCCTATCAATCATTCCGTCCACTTCCGCCCACTTCACTTCCCCTCCAGTTCACTTCCCTCCAGCTCACTCCCCTCCAGCTCACTTCCATTCCGTCCCCCAAAAAGAAATAAACCCAATCGAACCAGACAATACACATAACAAGGACTAGACGTAGCAAGAACCAAACATAACAAGTAAATACCGTGACACTTGCAGATCCTCTCTCCTCTAGACGTATACATATACAAATAGTCCCCCTCGCTTCCCCAATCCATGATCACAACACCTCTCCCCTCTTCTCCCCTCCCCCTTCCCTCGAGTCCCTAAAGTACCAATATACGTCCCAGTATCCTAATATACACCCATGCACACCAATGCACACCCATACACATCAATACACACCCATATACACCAATGCACACCCATACACACTAATTTACACGCATACACAAAAACAACCCACTCCTCCCCCTTCTTCTCCAACAACAAATCGTTACATATCACACAACCTCCCATCTCCCATCTCCCATCTCCCACCTCCCATCAATCTATCAACTAACTAACAAACCAACCACCCAATCAACCACCCAATCAACCACCCAATCAACCATCCCCGCCTGCCCCGCCCCGCCCCGGCACAAGACTGCCTCTCTATCCTCCTAATCCATCATCAGATTTACCAGTAGATTTAGATCCAATTTCAATTTCAATTTCATTTTCAATCTCAATCTCAGTCTTCAATTCGAGAAAAGAATTCCTCAACACCACACACCGGCTACATCACACACACCACTATACAGTATGAAGCCACAATAATCAATATAAATCCATCACTATCCGTCCACGTCCATTGCACTCCCATTACACAGGATCATCTCACAGTGCACATACACACAACCCGCCATCTCAACACATCAATCAATCCATTTCAATTTTCAATTTGCATCGAATGTATGTATGTATGTACTGTTTTTATTATAATATACCTAATGTCTCCATCATGAACCTCCGTCCCTCCCTCATTTCCACCCCCCAGCAACCCATCCCATCCCATCCCATCCCCAGATAACCACATAAACCCCTCTCCCTTTATGAAAATAATCTTTCTCCTTCCCCTCCTCAATCCCATCCCACATCTCATCAAATCATATCAACCGCCCCTCCCCAACCCCAACCCCACCCTAAAATCTATAAACCCTCAAAACTCAACGAATGCCATTGTAGTTTGTATTTG